AGCGGGGCTGGGAGCGAAATAGAATACCGGAGCGGAGCGATTAAAAAAAGAACTGCTACCATCTTATATCATGAAGTGAAAATGTAATAAAAGTAATATTTTGGTGCTTACACTTTTTGCTAAGTGTTTACCCGAGCTTCTCGATCGATTTGAGGTGTGCGCGACCTACTTACAACTGAGTGAAAATTTCTCAACTGGACCTCGAATTTCAGTCAAGTTGGAATTTTTGCGTGAAAATTTGTGAGTATATAGGTTTATAGATGTGAAAGGGATTCTGAGAATTTTTTGGAAAAATGTTGATTTTTAAAGTTTCTATAAGCAATTACATTTTTAAACAATCTTTTTTCAAAACTCATTTTCTTAAAGTATTTGACGAAAGTTGATGAAATTATTTTTGTTAGCGTAGTGGTATTGGAGCTTAAAAAAAAACACATATTTTTATAATATAGAAAAAAAAAGATTTTTTTTAAATTAAAGCATTATGAATATCCAAGTTGCATTAAAAATGAANCAAATATTTTTATAATATAGAAAAAAAAAGATTTTTTTTTAAATTAAAGCATTATGAATATCCAAGTTGCATTAAAAATGAATGAGTGTTTTCCATTTCGTTTATATTTTCGAAAATGCATTTGTTGAAGAAAATATTTCTAAAACAAAAATTTTTAGACCTTTTTTGTTTATTCCTTACAGCAACACTTGTCACAGCGCGCACGCATCATGAGCCATGCACGCTCACCGCCTCTTTATCCCTCCCTCCGCCCTCTTTAAAGCCCTTTACGCCGCCTCCGAATGACAAATGGATTTTGTGAGAAGCTTTTTCAAGGCATCAATATACTCGGTGTTTTGTCTTTGCTGGCCGAAGTGTNTCTTTACGCCGCCTCCGAATGACAAATGGATTTTCAAGGCATCAATATACTCGGTGTTTTGTCTTTGCTGGCCGAAGTGTTAAGAAAACGCCATTTTTTCTATATTTGTTTGCGATGTTGCTTTGACCAGGGATCGAAACTTGGCTTTGCGGAGTGGTAATACGCACACGACGCACATTCATGTCATCATCTAAAATATTTCCTTCTATCCTAACTCTCGAACTGTACATATGTACATATTAAGGACTTAGTTGAATTCGGAATTGTTCTCTGTTTAAAGTTATGATTTTGAATACAACGAAAATCACTCAATTAATTCCTACTGGGTGCGTGTACTTTGCACAGATGCATACATACTTATAAACAAAGCTAGTACTGCATACAAATTTCATATAAAAGCCGTCACAAACCTCTAATTTTTCCTTTAAATAATAAAACTCAAATGGAATCAAGCCGGAAGAAAACACCTCCAAGGAGAGTTACTGCGCTGCTTAACGCAGAGCATAAAGGATGTCCGACCTATTTGCAACGCCATGATATGTTCAAATTCATGCGTTGGAATTTGTGGTTCTGCGCTATGTATCGGCTTCCGCTCGAAAGTTATTTTCCAATTTTCCTACGATTTATGGCCATTACTTTGGATTGGATTTATGAGCTGTTTTTATATTTCACATTACTACATATCGACATACTCTTCATATGCACAATATATCGAAATCAGGATAAAGATGATTTAGAACTAATCGTTAGTTGTATGCTACAAGCCATTATCTATACATGGGCGCTTATTATTAAAATATTTTTCAAGCGCGTTCAAGCGAAACGCTTAGGATATTTAATGGAATATTTGAACGCTGAAAGTCGCATGCACTCAGCTGCAGGTAAGCAAATAAATAGTAACGTAAGCTTGAAAAATTTATAAAAAATCTATAAATCTGTAAAAAAAAAAATCTATCATTAAGGATTCACTTATGTAACAATTAAAGAATCTGCAGCATTGTCCAACACTTGGATTACAGTGTTTATGTTTTGCTGTTATGCTGGCGCCGGATTTTGGCTGTTTGTTCCTATCTTTAATCAAGAACGGACTCTGCCGCTTGCCTGCTGGTATCCCATCGATTATAAGGTGTGCTTTTGCGAAGAGAACACTGCCAAACTTTTGTATTCCCTTTTTGATCTCGTTTTCTCACGCTTACTCTTAAACCCCTTCTAGGTTCCAATTGTTTATGAAATCGTTTACTTACTCCAAGTTATTGGACAACTACAAATCGCCGGTGCTTTTGGTTGCACCAGTTCTTTCTTTTTACTTGTTTCTTTGCTATTTTCTGGGCAATTCGACATCCTTAACTGCAGTTTGAAGAATATTTTAGCTAAAACTTACCTTAATTTGAGGAAACCAATGTCGGAACTTATGTAAGCTCAGATTTTATTAATCACTATGATCGTTTTTCGCTGAGTTTGACAATAGTAATTTGGTTTTATTTTTTTTTTTAATTACGTTTAAATTATTTTTTCATATTCGATATATTCGACGTATACGAGTATTGCACATATTTTTCTTTCTTTCATTTTCCTCACCACCAACCTTTGCACGTCTGCTTTAAGCTTCAGCTTTCTTATTATCTATAGGATTGTATTGAACTAGATTTCTGGGAAACCGGTAAAGCGTGGTTTTAGTCATAGTCCTACGGTACCATACCATGCCATTACAGGTCTGACTAAGCTTTATACCATAACTATTTTTAAGGTTTTCTGACACGCCCCGACAATTTTCAACGCTCGATTAGCCAATCTCAGTCATACTATGCAGTTTCTCGTAGGTGATGTGTGGTGGCTTTGGAAAGAGGATGAGCAAATTGTGTCCTGCAAGAGGGACGTTTTACATATTTCCTTTTTCAGCTACTCGAGAAAATAATAATAAAAGTCAGCGGACTGCTCGCGAAATCAGGGATGCGACATACGTACAATCTCGATTTACTCTGCGTCACGGCAGCTAGATCCATTCTGTTTGCTTCTGATCCCATCACGCAGTGGCCTGAAATAATCTTAATTAAATGTCGGAGAAGTGATCGCACCAGTCTGAGCAATGGACTAGATTTTGTATCTAATATAGGCCAGTCATGTGGTATCCTACATTTGGGATATGTATACCATCTTCTATTCGCCTGTTAGGTACAGGTATTTTCCGGCCCTCATTTGCAAGATGATAGCGAAATACCTACGTTGGGAGCAGCACTAACCAGAGACGATAAGGTTCCCTTCCTTGTCAGTTTTCACGTCATGCAATTTCCTTTTATATCACAGTGATCTGGCACTATATCTGTCACGAAAACTGAGGCTGAGAGGAAGCTCTTGCCAGTATACCCCACTTCTCACTTTTAGGTCTTACTTGGAGTCATCGGTATAAATCAGGACAATGCTATCTGAAACCTAATGTCGTTTCACTAAACCTCATTCAGAACTCAATTAACACTCCAGTCTTGTGTTTTGTTTGGTTTTGGACGCTTAAATCATAAAAACATGTGAACAGGATGAACCGCGACCAAACAAAAATCGACGTAGTCTTGTATCTTTAAAAAGAATTCGAAATTGAACCTTAATGCAGCCTTAAGCATGCGAAAGTCAATTTCTCTTCAGTTTTCTCACGGGATTCCGGTGTCCCATGCAGGAGTATTGAAAGTCTAGAAATTAAATAGTAAATCAGTAAGGATTTTTGTAGCTATCAATCTTACAGGCATATAAGGAGCTTGTCTTCTTTCGAACGCGCTGATCCTGGTGAAAAGCTACGCCTTAACGTGCGATCAAAACGATAATAAATGCGGCAGAGGCATTAAAAGAAAAAAACTTACTACAGTAAAAACCCAGTAAAGGTTAAGGTGCAGCTAACNGTTGTAGCTATCAATCTTACAGGCATATAAGGAGCTTGTCTTCTTTCGAACGCGCTGATCCTGGTGAAAAGCTACGCCTTAGCGTGCGATCAAAACGATAATAAATGCGGCAGAGGCATTAAAAGAAAAAAAACTTACTACAGTAAAAACCCAGTAAAGGTTAAGGTGCAGCTAACTTTTTTTTTAATGAAAGCTTGCCCCCATCACTCTGAAAATATTAGCCAACACCCTTGCGAAGAAATAAAGCATCTCGAGGCTAGTTCGCGACTATTTCATGACCGTTTCGAGGCTAATTCTGGATCACTCGAGAGTAGTTTCGGACCACTTGACGCTACTTTGAGAATATTTTAGGGCTAGTTCGATTTCATTTCGGCACAGTTCACGATTAGATATTTCAGGANTTTCGAGGCTAATTCTGGATCACTCGAGAGTAGTTTCGGACCACTTGACGCTACTTTGAGAATATTTTGGGGCTAGTTCGATTTCATTTCGGCACAGTTCACGATTAGATATTTCAGGACCATTCCAAGACTAATTCAGGAATATTTCGGGACTTGTTCGTGATAATTTTGTGACTAGTAAGTGACCATTTCGGCTTCGGAAGATACTTTCGGGACAAGTTCCAGACTTTTTCAAAACCATTTTAGGCCTATTTCAGGAGAATTTTGGGAATATTTCGGGATCATTTCGAGCTAGTTCGAAACTAGCGAAACTTTTCAAGAACGCCGTATAGCAGAATAACACTCTATCTCAAAATTGAGTTGCAGAACGCACTATCTCAGCTGCCGATTCAAAAACGCCCTATCTCAGCACATTTTCAATGCATGTTCAACTGAGAACTGGCTTCCGAGATAGGTCGATCTTCCTGACTAGTATTCCCTACTGAANGTTTTCAATGCATGTTCAACTGACAACTGGCTTCCGAGATAGGTCGATCTTCCTGACTAGTATTCCCTACTGAAATCTCACTCTTTAATTTATACCTACTCGTTTTCTCTCTATAATTATTATAATTTTATACTTCTTAACCGCCTTTTCCTTTCTTTTTCCCCTATTACCCTACCATCAATCTCATATTATTTTCCTTCATTCAACATTCTCGCTTCCTTTTCAGCGCTCTACGCGACAAACAACAAAGCGCCAACTCCGAGCTTAATCAATATTATAGCGCTAAGGAACATACCACCGATTTAGATTGCATACCACATTTGTTGGATGTGAAATCATCGAAACCCAGAAGCTTCTATGCAGCATTCAAACGTGCGTTTGTGCCCTGCATAATACATCACCGTTACATACTTTCTGGCCTTGAGGAGTTGGAGAAGCTATACACTTTCATTTGGTTTCTCAAAACATTAGAAGTGACTTTGCTCGTTTGCTTAGTCTCATTTTCGTGGGTCAAGGTGCAATTAATTCATTTACAAATTTATATCCAAATTTATGTCAGCTTTTTTATTATAATTTTCTTGTTCTTTTTCAAAGTCGACTGCTGCCAATTCGTTTGTTCGCATTCTCTCACTTAGCCAGTATCTGATCTTGGCTCTATGGGAAATGTTTATGATCTGTTATTCGGGTGAAATTATATTTTTAAATAGTCAGCGGTGTGATGAAGCCCTACAACGTAGTCCATGGTACTTGCATTCGCGTGAAATAAAGCAGGACGTCCTCTTTTTCATACTCAATGCGCAGCGTCCTTTCCGATTGACCGGCGGAAAAATGTGTAACTTGAATGTGGAGAAGTTTCGCAGTGTAAGTACACTGAGTCCTCATTTTATATTTTAATGAAAGTTTGAATTTCTTTTAGATTTTAACTACATCGTTCTCGATCTTGACTATTCTACAAAAAATGGATCAGAGGGAATCACACCCAAAATAAGTATAAATACTCATTCATATAAAAAGTGAACGAAAGATTAAAAAAATTCAAATTAATAAAAATGTTTTATTATTTCTTGATTTGAATCGTTTTAATTTCGGTAGTAAGATCAGATTTTGGAATTAAGTTAAACTCTAATGCATTCCAAAAGGACTTATGATTACAAGAACGATCAAACAAAAGTTATGCCATCTAGCCAGCTTTTCCACGTCACCTCGCTCCATGTTCTATACCTATCTAGATCTTGGTGTTCGTTAAGACAAAGATTCCCTGGATACTAGGGCTGTGTAACTATTTGAATTTAAGCGAGTTGACTCAATTACTCAAGCTCATTTTAATGATTTGGCTCAGTGAAATGGCACAATTGAGCTATGACACTGTGCTGTCGAGGCAACACAGCCTAGAGTTCAATGTGCAGACTATACCACTTTTGTGGTTGATCAACCATTTTTTTGCTAAAGTGCGTTTCTACCGCATCTACCACCGTAAGCTTAAAATCTACCACATTTTACAATTTTTCTCATTTTACAATGTGGATGACAAGGACAGGTCATCCTTGAGACATTTCTGTGTCTCTATACCTTGCACAAACTGTATAATTCTGTCTATTGAGTTATGTTAAGGAACTCTTCTCTGCCCCTAGTAAGGAATATTAGCCTATGGTCACTATTATGGACACTACGTTATTCCCTTATTATTTGCTGCTCCTTTTCACTTTTTAAGCGCTTGCATCGCGGCCAGTGATCATTGGAAGTCATTTCTTCTGACATTGGTATTATGCCTCCACAAAGACAATGTCTGTGATCTGGATCTGTCACTAATTTCCAGAGTCGTCTGGACTGATACCAAATCTTACTTTGAAACTGTGTAATTCTAAGATATTCAATGTCACTTTGACGCACTGCCCATACTTCGGGCTTTTTGATCAACAAGTCTCAAATTACCTTGCTGCTGCTATGATTCAAACCCATTTATTGGCCTTTGAAGTTTCATGGCTCTTTACTCAGTAATGTTTCCAGAACCTCCATTGTAAACATGAAGGCGAGGAGTACCTAGACCTGGGCTACTGCCAAGTGCATTGCGTTTATCTTCTTGGCTCCTCGGCGTTAGAAAGACAAGGTCGATGGTCACTAGAAGCTCCTCTGTAGTTCTCCTTGTAATCTACAGGTTGTTTCCACTACCTGGCCTGAAAGAGATTGCAAAAACTGACGGCTTTGTAGATGTCTAATTCACCGACTTTACGTCCTTGCTTCGCGTTGCGTTTTGACGCCACGATCTTTTGGTGACGAATCCAAATATTTGGGCCTCATGCATAAAAAGTGAGCTAATGCTCAATTTAACTTTTCCACCAAAGAACTAAGCTCAAGCTCAAGAACTTGCGCTGAAAGTCGAGTGGGAGCGTTTAGCTTTTTATGTATAAGGCCAACTATGTCCAGGCTTAGCCTGAGAAGCTTTTCCTCAACGCTACTACAAATCAGTCGCCACGTTGAAATATGAAGCCCTCATTATACGATTTTAGTATCCCTATAGCGTAATTTGATGACTTCTCAGCACTCTTTGGGTAATTAATAACCCTATCCTTAAGGCATTTACAAAAATTAGTAGTAAGATAATGGGATCATTTTAAATTAATTCTCGGCTTAAAATTCCCTAAAGTAGTTGTTAGGAAGATACGCCAGTCAGATCTGTGAGCACTGTAATTTCCGCCATCGTTTAGAACGATATCAGACTTTCAGTAGTTCAGCCTCATTTTTGAGATGTGAACATCGAAAACAAATTTGATATGTAGTCCCATTCCCAGATTTCAGTGGCCGGCCTATTGGATAGCTAGGCTCGAACTT